TCCTCTCTGAGCCCATCAGTAGGGATCCACACACAAGAGTCAACTCTAGCATTCGCCTGTCACCTGCATCAGGGGGGAAATAAAACCCTGAGTACTCAATTGTATTTAGCAAGACTTACCCGCCATAAGAAATAAAAGACTCCAATGATATGCAAGGCTATCTGGCTTGTGGATTTATTGCATCTGCTGGGTCATTACTAAACGTGCGGCCTTATATTCAATTTTATTAGCAGTCAGCATTAGTTCATTAACCAACAATTCTATGTAAGCACCCGTGCTACTTTTAAGCAAGTGGTAAGCAATCAGAATTATTTTACCATCTTTCATCTTTAAGTTCTTACTACGGTGCTAGACTATAGACAAATCATACCGGATCACCTGGCGATTCGTGAACCATTGTATCCTAGCTAGGTACCCTGAAACGCACGCCCCGCTTGTACCCCAGGCACAAGCAAGACCAAGCCACTACCCTCGAGTCCACGGAGTCTAGGTCCCCATCTAAACTTGGACTCCAGCCCCCCGCCTCCCGAGTCCCGGACTCAAGGCGGTGTTTAGACCTCCACCATCCCGTCTCTAATTAGTCGGTTAGGAAGAGCCGAACCCATGACAAGAGGACAATGAGCCTTCCTGCGCCCATATACAAGTATGTGTTCGGGATAATAAGTCTATGACCTGACTATCATCCATTGCAACGGTCGGTCCTTAACCGACACAGGGAGAACAAGTGCAACCCGAGCCTCGCTCGAATGCCAAACCAAGTCCAGATCCAAAGTACCATTCTGCCCGGTCTTCAATTATCATTCATATATATTCCATGTGATAGTAATATAATAACAATAATAAGATCTTTTCTATCTCTCATGAGTGACAGGCAATCACTCGACTTCTACTGGAGTCCTATAGCATAGCAATCTACACGATCCTGTCATACTAGTAAGAATCATAGAGTAAGGATATATATATATATATATATATATATATATATATACACACATACACACAAGTGGGTTTTATTCAACTCCTTTAACTTAATGCACAAGCATAAATTAAAGTGCAGAATAATAGGGGTTATGAACCGGGCCTTACCTGGGTAAGATATAACCAAAAGTTAGCATCCCAACGTGGCGACACGATCACCAATGCACCATCTTTTCTGCTACTCCTGTCGTCTCCATGATCCATCGTTGTTCCTATTAGGATATACGTGGATGCAACGTATAGATGTAAATAATCAACGACAGCCGAAACTCTTAGAAATTCGATTACGCCTCACAAGCTAACGAGATAGCTCTAACGCGCTAGTCTATGTATCCACGTCGTCAAGTAAGGCTCGTTCTTGAAAAATGTTTTGGTTCTACAAACCCCCTAATTAATTTCGACATTTGATTGATTAAATATATATTTTCGTACTAGTGCTCATTGAGTTATCTTAACAAACTAATTCCTATGGAGCTACAAAAATTATAGTGAGCACCTAATATTGCTAGGAATCTACTGTAAAATTTTCAGAGCCAACACTGTCACCAATTTATCACAATAATTCCTACAAGTTTATATTTTGATAATATTAAGTATCTCAAATTAATTATATAGCTTCTAAGAATATTATAAAACTATGTGAACAAAATATACTAGCAGATAGATCATGATTTTAGGATCCTAATAAAATTTGTTTTACTATTTTTGGACGTCAATGTGATTTTATAATATTTACCAGATATCCGCTAAGAAATAACATGAACAATCTATTTCTAATTCCTTCAAAAAAAGAAAAGCCAAAACCAGCCCAGCGCGGCCCAACCTGGGCGCGGCCCACGCGTGCGGCGCGCTGACGCGACCCACGGCGGAGGCCGGTGGCCCACCAGGAGCGCCCGCGGCCGGCTGCGGCCCATGTGGAGCCGAGGGCCCAAGCGGCCGGAGCGCCGGCCAACAGCCCTAGTGGCCCAGTAGACCCCCACTCCCCACACACTTTTTGCGAAACCACCCCTAAACTTTCTCGAAACTAACCCGCAATATAAGAAAAATATTCATGTGAGTCACGGTTTTGCATTGGGAACCCTAGACTTGTTTCTATTCTCACCCGTGGTCCTTCTCTTGAATCAGAGCAGAGCAGCGAGCAGGGGAGGCAGTGAGCCGGCCGATTCCTGGCTGAAGGGTTGGCTCGCCGACGGGCGGTGTTGCCGCAGAGGCCGCGGTAGCCACCCGCACGTGCCTAGGTAGGATGTGGCTCGCCTGGAGGTGGCCCGCGCTGGCGTGGTCGCGCGCACGCATAGGAGAGGAGGCGGCGGCAATCTCCAACTCGGCCAAGGTGCGCCAGGCGGAGAGGATGAATAGGCGAAGGTGGTGGTGGTGGCGGCTTGGCTGGGCATAGCCGGCAGTGGCCCCGCCATGCGCGCGGTGGTCGCGGCAAGTGGCTACACGACGTCGGTGCACAATCGGCGGCTCTCGGCCGACAGCAGCGCGGCTACGGCGGGGACAGCGGCACGGCTCAGCAAGGACCGACCGGGGGCACGGGAGTGGCGGCATGAGCAGGGGAAGGAGGTGGCTGCGGGAGCCTCCCTGGCCATGGCGGCCATGCCATGCTATGGGCGGCAGAGCAAGGGAGAACACGAGGGGAGGCAGAGAGGAAAGTAGGCAGCAGCGGCACAATCCTCTCCTCATTAATGCATGCGTCGGACAGGGACGAGGTAGGTGAGATGAGTGGCTGAGAGCGAGCGCTGCCATGACCGAACGGCAACGGACAAGAGCACCTCCCTACACGCGCGCGCGGACGGCATTACGATCGACAGCAGCCACGCATGATTTTTAAAGCGAACGAAAAACTGCTAACGATCACGATTGAGGTTCAACTAATTCCACGACTCTAAAGTTGATCTTATCAGCCATCTAATGGAGCAATCCGCACAACAAAAGGACCACCCGAGAGGAAGATAGGAGGATGCCAAGATGGGTTCGTCAAGCTGGGCGCTGGTTCGCGAACCGAGCAGTAATTCACGGTCCGCAGCGCGTTCTAACGAAGTTAGGCAATTTCTACGAGTGCGTGACACCCATCGCCACCTCGACCTACACCGTTCTCAAGTGCTCATTTCGACGCAACTGACGGTGCAAAAACATGGAGTTGGTGTTTAGGAAATTTTGTGGATATTTAAATGTCGAAGTAGCATTGTCTATCATCTTTTCAGACTTCAAAGGAATTCAAGGTTCCATATAGAACTAACACTCCCTAGCACTTTGCCGTAATTTTTGCAAGGTCTAAACCTCGACCATTTCAACTAACAAACATAGCATGACATAGCCCATACTCCATACTAACCCACGGGAGCAAAACATTTGAACACCTCTTAATTATTTTGCTTAATATAAATAGTTAAAAATAGCATCCTAACTAAAATTTCAACTTCCTGCCGATTCACGAAAGGTCTAGTTTAAATGTCGGATTCGATTTCTGAACTATCAGATATACTATTGAACAACTTTTATTCACCAAAACAAGAGTTGCATTTTCATCTATTAAACTTGGGCTCCAAATTTTATCCAAGTACTAAATACAAGTTATATTTTATTTTGTTTATAAAAATTGCTTTCGTGCGGATGTTTAAAACTATTTATTCTACTCTTCGCGTTAGGATTTTTTATTAACACATATAGGCATTTACGTAACTAACCCACTATATTTATAGATCTATCGCTCAGGCCATTATCTCTGTGCTTAGCGAGCTCGTAAGTGTTATAACCAACCCCCTTAAAAGAATCTCGCCCGAGATTCGGAGTAAGAATCAGAAGAGGGGAAACACGATTGTATTTCGTAAATCTAGACTTACATGAAAGATTACACGACGTCGAACGCTAAATTACATTGGGATTTAAAGTTACATGGTTAAAAGCAACCTGTACAACCAAAGCTTAATCCAGAAGTCGAGAAACAACAAGATAATGATTATCCAAAACATGGCGTATGACCAACAGATCCAGAAACAGGAGACTGAGAAATCAAACATCGTGAACCCTAAGACCAAACTAACCAACGGTAGACTTGAACTTCCTCGAAAACCAGATCCCTTCTTCCTCTCAGATTACACAATCACCTCTGACTGACGAACCTAGTTCCACAATGATGACTGGATCTTGTAGCTCTGCTTCGGATTCGAGGGGATGGGGATGAAGAAGAAGGGCAAGGTCCATGGGTATCTTATAGTGGTGAACGGAGGTGGGACGCAACGCACCGAAAGTGGAGACGGCATGAATGGGATACACAGACGGTTCATGCTGTGGGGATAAAGTCGGCCATGGTGCGCTTCCTGCGCGAGCGGCAGAGGGAGGATAAGGAGAGGAGAGGAGAAGGGTTCGCTCGACGAGGAAGGCGTGCGGCGGCCGTGTCCCCAAGAGAAGAAAAGGAGAGGGGAAGGGGGGGGGTCCGGTACGGGAACGAGGATGTGGGATCGAGAGCCAACAGGATGCCGAGAAAAAGGGGAAGCACACAGCACACAAGGACGGCTTGTGATGAGCCTTGAATTTGGTGAAATTACGTACTCCATTCCTTATACTAATATTAATTATTAGCTCGTGAAGAATACGATGGTGATGAATCAAAGTATAAATAAAAAATGAGTGGGAAAATGATGAAGATGGACTAACACATACTCACGTTAAAAAAAGAGAGAGAACCCACAGACGATTGATGTATAGTCAAAGCTCAAACAACTACTTAGTACATAACCGTTCCTTGCATTACCCCTCGCAAATGAGCTAAGTTTATTTATTTAATTTATGTTACATATCTCACTCACAAAATAGAGTATATATAAGTGTATTTACTACGCAAAGCCTTATTGATATCTTTTTTATGTTCGTATACGTACACACCCATGTACACGCGGGGCAAAAGATGCCAAGTGTAGATTTGATATTCCACAATCAACGATTCAACACCAGCGTCAACTAGTGTATCAGGCAATTAATAGCAAGGGGCATTTCACGTATGACGTGGATGACCTGCATGTTTACGCCAGAACCATCTCTAGCTCCAGCGCAGACTGTGCAGTCCTGTATGCCCTGGGGCGATTCTTGACCGGGTAGTAGGTATCCATGGCGATGCCGCACTTGCCCGTGGGCGCGGCCACGTTGCGCCTCATGCGGATGTAGCCGGCCTCGCCCCATCTGGTACCCCACGAGTTCTTCACGATCCAGTAATCCTTGCCATTCTCGCTGCCATAGCCCACCGCTGTGACGCCGTGGTCTAGCTTCGTCCCGCATACGCCGTCGAAGACACCCTGTTGTGTGAGCGTGCGAGGGTATAAATAAAGTTGAGGGCCGGGGAAGGGGCAAAGTTGCTAGGCTGTTTCGAATGAGTTTCCCAAAATACATTTTTTGAATAAATAAACAAAATGGCCTATATGCGTGCATGTTGTTTCCCTAGTCGTGGCATGCATTATAAGCGACGTTTTTATTTTTATTTTTTACGATTTATAGTGCTGGAACGAACGGCCGCCAGCCTCGATGGCGACGCTAACAGGCTGATGGGCCACCGCCGCCTGTAACGCCTTCTCATTGTTGGCTGGCAACACCCTCTTGTACGAACTTATGGACACAACCTTCTTCTTTATCTACATAACAAAACATGTACAAATATCCGTCACCATCGACGCAGCGAGCAGGTTAGGTGTTCATGCAAATTTACTGCAGAAACCGAAACTTAATTACTTATCATGACAGTACCGTACCGACCTTGTTGGCATCACAAGTGCCGTCACGTCCGGTGAAGGGGTAGTCGGCCTCGGTGTCGATCCCGCCATTGCTGATAACCCACTGGAAAGCGTAATCCATGCGTCCGCCGCTGCAGCCATGGCTCTTGTGATCGCAGTCGATCAGCTCCTGCTCCGACAACTCCACGAGCTTACCTGTCACGATCTTGTTGATGCCCTCCATTGCCGCCACTGCCGAGAATGCCCAGCACCCACCTGCGCGCATCTCCCAGGGGCGCAAAGATCATCCATCAGTCAAATACATACCTAGCTCCATATTCTTACCGGAGATGAGAACTTCATAGCTCGATCGAGCTATGGAGCAACGACGACGAGCCGACGATCGTGTTTACGGACCGCATGTGCTTTGGTTCCTGACGCGGGTGACGGCGCCGCTCTTGCGCCAGTCGACGGCGGCTGGGACGGGCTGCGGCTCGCCAGCGCTGTTCAGGTCGAAGCGGGTGCTCCGCCCGTCGGTGGCGTCGTCTGCCGTCGTGTCGTTGCGGCGGCTCTGCTGGAAGCCGAGGACGCGGCCGCGGAACTCCTCCAGGGTGAGGTCGGCGAAGGGGGTGAGGCCGAGGCGGAAGCCGTGGAGCCCCAGGTCGGCCTCGGCGTTGTGGGTGTCGATGTAGCGGAGGTTGTCGCGGAACACCTCCAGCCGCAGGAGGTCGTCGTCGTTGCCGCGCGGCGGCCACGGCGGGTGCTTTGACTTCCACGCCTCGTACAGCTGCCGCACCTCCTCGTCCACCCGCTCCCACGGCGCCGCCGAGTGGATGCTGCGGGGCGCAGCCGAGACGTCGACGGCGGCCAGTGCCACGGCCAATGCCACCGCGAGCATTGTGGCCGCCATCGCCGTGGGCGCAGGGGAGCGTGCCGGATGCATGGGATGCATGGGCGCTCGAGAGCCGGACTGGTTTCAACTCTCAAGTCTCAAGACAAGTGCTGTCGTACGGTCGCGTGGGTCGGCTCGGTGCCTCAGCCTGTGAAGCGAAAGGGTCAATTTATAGCCACGCGGGACGACAAGTGGACCATCCGGGCCCACCCACGGCGCCAACCAGCAACCGTTGACGCGATTTGTAGAGATAAGCACCACTAGAGCTACGAGTCTACGCCGATGCTTGTTTTGGCACGGTTTCTAGTTAGTTTTTCTAAGTAAAAATAAATTACACTATCATTTCCTAAAATACTAGACAATTCTTATCTAGATCCCCAAACTATGAAATTGCATATCTAGGTCCTGAACTATTTAAGTATGTCATCCATGTCCAAAACAGCCACGTCACGGTCCATTAATTAACGTGACGCTCGCATGAAATTGACATGTGGGTCCATAGCTTATAATTACAGGGACGGTGCCTAAACTATCATGGGATCCTCACATAGGTCCTAAACTATAAAATTACCCATCTCGGTCCCTAATCTGCCAATATAGTTGGATCATGGGACGCGCCACGGCAGGCATTGTTGTCAAGTTTGTGCTAAAACACCTCACTCACTCATTGTGAATTGGTGACATGGAACAACCGGCCAGCAACAACTTCGCGGGTATGTTGGCCAGTTGTTCCATGTCACCGTAGCGAGTGATGTATGTGTCTTACCACACACTTGACGACAGTGCGTGTCAGTATGTCGCCCGGTCCAACCATATTGGCAGATGGCATCAATACATTTATCTCCAAGATAAGATGAAAAGTAGACAATAAGAAGTCCAATGGCAAGCAAAGGCTCGGAAACCTGTTTGGCAATTCACACGACGATGAATGAAGCGTGAAGAGGTTTCTTCAGACAAGGACTACATTAGTTTAATAGATTATCAGGGACCAAAATGAGTAATTTTATAGTTTCCGACCTAGGTGAGAATCACATGATAGTTTACACCATCCCTATAATTATGAGTTATGGACCCACATGTAGATTCCACGTTGGAGCGCCATGTCAGCTAACGGATTGTGTGATGAGGACATCCCTTCCATTGATACAACCACACCTGCTGCACAACAAGGTCCGATGACAAGAGCTCGAGCACGACAACTTAATTATCAGGTAAAGTCGTTCCTCGCTGTTCATACAAACTCGTCTCAGAATTGGATGCTACTAAATCATGGTGATGATTGTCTTATTCTTAGGAATGTTGGTCAAGACTCCATTGCCTCATGTTTAGACCCCATGATGAGGATGGAGCAGCCGAACAAGTGGGAATCATCATTAATGGGGGGCTGCAGCTCATCTCGAGACAGCGGGGACACTCCATCAAAAGTACCATAACTCCTTGATACGAGATCCAATGAAGCTGGTTTTTGACTTGTTGGAAAGAGCGCGTCGTCCTCTTTCACATGGGTCCAACCCCACTATCAGAATCTACCGAAGCTGTGTGCAGCAAGCCAAAGGACGCAGAGACCTACAGCTTGGGCCTGGGCCTTGTACTAACTACAACCCTTTGAGGGACGCCCAGATTAGGGTTTCCCACTCCCCCTTGTGCTCTCCTCCTTATAAATAGAGCCAGCAGCCATCAGAATGAGGTTGGGTTTTGTTTAGATGCAAGATAGCTGCTGCTTCTTCCTTGTAAACGCGTGTGTCGGCTAGACCACCCGATTTGCTTGTTTCAAGACCCCAACTTGTGATTCAGATTCAGCCTTTGGCTTAAATCCGTGAGTTATTTGCTTGTTCATCTTGTTCTTGCTTGTTCTCGGTTGCTTGCAGGTTCTTGGTGTTCTTGGCACGGCAAGAACATCACAATCGAGCCGTGTGTACTGTTGCTAAGGCGAAGACAACCTTGTGGTCGTTGTAGTCGGACAACCAACGTCGAATCCACCCCAAATCGAGTTTATCCACACTCACCAAAAGATCAGGAACAACCCCTAGTCCCATCATGTGGTAATCAGAGCAAGGTTCTTTGGTGAGTGATTTACCGTTCATTACTTTACCTATAGTCCGAAATATAAAAATAGGATAGAACTGAAATTCCAAACACAAGTTTGAGCCTTGTCGATCTGCTTAGTTCTTTGCTTGTTGAGTTTGTGCTTTACATCGTGGTGTCAAGTGCTGGTTCTTAGGTTCTAATCCTTTAGAGTTTTGAGTTCTTGTCACGTTTTAGTCACCACACAATCCTCTGTTGCCTTCCCCCCCCCACTTCAGCCGCTGCAATCTCCACCAATACCACCACCACCACCACCACCAAAAGCACGCTGCTCTCTCCACCTTTTCAATTTGAAACCCTCACCACCATCACCTTCAGCCGCGCCTACACAAACACTACCTTATGCACCTGTCCTTTTGGTGCAAATCTGAGTACACTCAGTTCTAAAAATAAGAGAGTTCAAATTGCATATTTGTACTACTTGTTGCAATCCTTATCCCTAGTAAAAGAAAGTCTATGCTATTTGCTGCATTCTTGTTATAATCATATTGCAAAAGTTCAGTTTAAGCGCTACTTGTCGAAAAAGAAAAGAAAAGAAAAGAAAAGAAAATAGAAAAAGAAAAGAAAGGAAAAGGAGGAAAGAAAGAAAGAAAGAAAGAAAGAAAAGAAGGGTTAAGTTGATGCTATTTACTCTCATCATTTCCATTGTTTGCTCTTGTCCGGTGACAACATTTGTGTCTAGGCTCGCGTCTCTAGCACGGGTTAGCCTAGGACCAAGACGATACTATCTTTGAACACTTATTCAACTTGCATTGACTAACGTGGTTCCAGTTGTACCTTGATTTTTTTTTTAAGCCCTACAGCTCCACACAAATTATCTACAACGTCACGTGGTTCTACTTGCTACTACTTGTGTTGTTCTTGTGTCGTCGCCAACACCATCTCGCATAGCAAGGTAAGGACATGTAAGAACTCGGTTGCACATCTTTGAGAGAATGAAAATTGTTGCCACCTAATTCAGTTAGTTGGTAGGACATATTTTCTTGTGATTCCCTTGCTACATACGAAACATGGCAGGAGAAGGTGAAAGGACCCCTCCACAATCACCTCGATCAAAAGCCTTGCTGCAACACTTTGAACGCAAAGTGAGGCTCCATGCTGAACACCTTGATGAGGATGTTCGTGTCACCAATGAGCGCCTTGGTCAATTGGAGACGGCTCAGATTGAGACCAACACCAAGTTGGCTTCCTTGGAAGGCACTCTTGGTTCTGTTAATACATCTCTTGTAGGTGTCTTGAGCGATTGGAGAGGATGGAACAGAATCATTTGTGATGGTTTCGAACGACGCAATAATCACAACAACAACAACACCATGGGCAAAGTCTTCTTTGGTCATGATGAAGAAGAATATGCAGCGGACATCGAGCTTGATGAGGAGCTGAATGGTCATCGACGCATCGAACAACATCGCCGCCCGCCATGAGGCAGGTCCTCGCCGACCACGGCAAGAGGTACGTGCCGATGACTCATTTGGCAAGATTAAATTCACCATACCTACTTTTGATGGGAGGTATAATCCTGATATGTACCTTTGTTGGGAATTAGCTGTTGATCGTAAATTTACTTGCCATGATTTCCCGAGGACAAACGTGTTAGGGCTGCAACTAGTGAGTTTCTTGACTTTGCCTCATTTGGTGGTCTGAATACCATCGTAAGAACCCAAATAACACACCAACTTGGGATGCTTTGAAACGGGTTATGCGGGGCGATTTGTTCCTTCTTATTATGCCCGTGATATTTTACATAAGTTGCAACAATTGAGGCAAGGATCCAAATCAGAGAAGAGTACTATCAAGAGCTACAAATGGGGTATGCTTCGTTGCGGGCTAGAGGAAAATGAGGATGGTGCCATAGCTAGATTTATGGGTGGGCTGAACCAGGAGATTCAGGACATTCTAGCTTATAAGGAATATAATTACATCAATCGTTTATTTCACCTTGCTTGTAAAGCTGAACGAGAAGTCTTGAGGGACGACGAGCTAGCATGAGGGCTAACATTCCTGCAGTCGTCGTGCTAGCCCATGGACACCCTCCAATGTCTTTGCACCATCAGCGCGTGCACCCCCACAATCTTCCTTGACCATCAAGCCACGCTCCTCTACAACAAATTATGTACCATGCCCAAGTGAACCAACTAGAGGAGCAACGGCTACATCTCGCCAAGAGTTCATCCTCGGTGGTATCCACGGGAGAACAAGGGATATTCAAAGTGCCTCACGTTTGCAAAGGATATGGCCACATACGCAAGGACTGCCCAAGCACACGTGTGATGATTGTGCGGTGATGGTGGGTATTCCTCGCTAGTGATTTTGATGAAGAAACATATGCTTTGCTTGCTGCTAACAATGTAGCGGAAGGAGATGATTTCCAACAAGACAAAGAGCACATTAGGGCTGAAGCTGCTGAGCACTATGAGAGCCTCATGGTGCAGCGGGTGCTAAGTGCCCAAATGGAGAGGGCTAAACAAAATCAGCGCCACACTTTGTTTCAAACCAAGTGTGTGATCAAGGAACGCTCTTGCCGTGTGATCATAGATGGAGGAAGCTGCAACAACTTGGCAAGTGCTGAAATGGTGGAGAAGCTTTCATTGAGAACAAAACCACACCCGCAGACCTTACTACATTGGCTTGGCTTAACAAAGAGCGGCAAGGTGAAGGTAACCCGATTGGTAAGGGTAGAGTTTGCCATTGGTTCTTATCATGATTCCATTGATCGCGATGTTGTGCCTATGCAAGCATGCTCTATGTTGTTAGGTAGACCATGGCAGTTTGATAAAGATTCCTTGCACTCTGGTAAAACAAATCAACACTCTTTTGTGCATAATGACAAGAAGATTGTGTTGCACCCCATGTCCCCCGAGTCTATTCTAAGAGATGAACTTGCTAGATCTAGCAAACTTAAGAATCAGGTGTTGCTAGTGAAAATCAGATTG